TAAGAGGAAAAAAAGAAACACCACTGATTTTATCCAGACAGTTCTCCGTCATATACATCTTTACTTTTCCCAGCACCTAATACTATCTCTGATACACAGAATGTATTTACTAATGCCTGTTGAATCAAAGAATGCTCTTATGCTATATTCTTACTTTCTTGATAATACAAAATATAGAGTAACCCGGGCTTCCCTGGTGGCGCAGTGGTTGAGAGTCTGCCTGCCAATGCAGGGGACACGGGTTCGAGCCCTGGTCTGGGAAGATCCCACATGCCGCGGAGCGGCTGGCCCCATGAGCCACAATTACTGAGCCTGCGCGTCTGGAGCCTGTGCTCCGCAACAAGAGAGGCCGCGATAGTGAGAGGCCCACGCACCGCGATGAGGAGTGGCCCCCACTTGCCGCAACTAGAGAAAGCCCTCGCACAGAAACGAGGACCCAACACAGTCAAAAATAAATTAAAAAAATATATATATAGGGTAACCCTAGCGAATTTATTCATGCAACCATAACCTGAGGCACCACTATTTACCTGGTAATGGTACATGAAACACAATGTGAAGGAAATAGAATTGCTTTAGAAATACACACCTATAAATTTAGCAACTTCAAAGAGATATTTCATGTAAATGAATTTTCAAAATAACTGATACTTATCCTTTACATCACTGTAACTTATCTTTAAATAATCATAATGAAAATATTTTCAAAGAGATTTCTAGGTCTTTTTTCTCTGCCTTAATCTAAACATGATACAATCTTTTCTTGATGACTCAAACTCATCAATGTAAATCTCAATTATTAGACTATTCTATAACACAGTGACTCTTGGAGTTATTGAGGGATGTCCAACTGTTTGTCTCTTCACTAACTCAACCTAGACTACTTTTAAAAACAAGGTCTCCTACTGCCTGCTCCCCAGTTGTCACTTATAGGCCACCAGCATCCTAGCCAAGGCTTCTAAAATGCCAGTTGAAGTTTAAAATACGTACAACCTGAATAGGCAATTGATATACTTAACCTTATACAAGATTATAAATTCCATGGTGTAGCTATTCTCACTGCTCTAAGGCCTAGCTCAAAGGCTTTTCTTCTTTTATGTCCGAGTTCTGAGACTCAGTCTAGGCAGCTGCTAGAAGTCTGGCCACAAAAGAACAATTACAATACTAATTTCTGCATGTTCTCTTAATTCTTACTATAATATAGGGAAAAAAACATAAATGATAGTCATAACAAAACACAAAACAACCATGTAAACAAATGATGAAGGCAGCTCACATTATGTGCTATATGGACAATTACCTAGCCAATTATTAGCCAAGAGTCAGCAAACCAGGCTCGCTGGCCAAATCCTGCGATTGTAAAAAAACAAACAAAAAAGGATATTCAACAGAGACAGTAAGTGGCCCACAAGGCCTAAAATATTATCTGGCACTCTAAAGAAAAAGTCTGCTGATTCCTGATCTAAACTGTAATAAACACACACATATAAAACATATAAGCTATTCCTCATACATAAAGCTTAAGTTATTAATATAAATAACTTAGTAGATGCAGCATTCTTTCAGTGATGGGTTCATTATGATACAGCCAAACTTGTCCAGCCCTGCCTATTACTCTCTTGACCATGCTGTAGGGCTTAGCCAAAATCTTGACTTTAACCTTCTTTCCTTCTTCCTCTTGATACTTATCCTTATACACTCTCAGACTGGTCTCCTTACTATTACTTCCAGCTCTGGCTGTCAATCTTTTTTGGAAAGTCTTTCCTTTTGCTAGATATCTAAATCCTTCCTAAGCTTCAAGTCTGACTTCCTTTAAATGCCTTCCAGGATCATTCTAGCCCTCAATGGCCTCCCTTTCCTTCAAATTACAGTCCTTGCCACACAATTTAATAATGCCGTCTCATATTTTTGCTAATGATTTCTTGTGTGTTAGTCTAGTATCCCCAACTAGTCTGTAAACTACTTGAAGGAAAGAAACACATCCTATTGCTTTTGTATCCCCGCTCTAATAGTAGCTCATCGTCCTCTGAGCACGTGTCATCTCCCAAGCACATCTCTCTACCTTGGAGAAAAAACAGCCTGAGGAATGGTAATGGGTGACAAGTGATTGGCAATATCAAAGGAAGACACCTACAAAGGAACTTGATGGAAGACCATAGGCTACAACGCAAACTTAGAAAGTGTATGTGAAAGATAAGCAAAACTACAATAGTGGGAGGATAGAGATAAAGATCAAGGGTTAAAGAGACCACAGCATAACACTCTGAAATAAAATGAGACCAAAATATTAAGAAAATTATAAAAGCTCCCAATACAGGTAAAAAAAAAAAAGTTGCCTTTCAACACTACTGGTCATTAATTTCTTTTTAGCAAGCAGCTCGACACTGATATCCATATGGGCCATTTTTCTTTTTCTTTTTGCAATGTGATAAAAAGAAGCACTAAAAGACTCAATGGAATTGCATGCACAGTATTCTAAACCTTTGGATTTACAATACTGTGAATTAATTTGAAGTCTGCTAGAGACTGCTAGGGGAAAAAACCAATTATTTATCTTTTGATTACCTGGCTAATAAAATTAGAAATCACATGCATATCGCTACATCATGCTCAAAGATATCACCTAGACTCATTTTCATAGAAAAATGTACCAAGAACAAGAGAAAGAAAACAAAACCTTTAGGTTACTTCATCAAATTGTATCTTAAAAATATAGGCAAAATAGAAGATGCACAAGCCTTGGATGTATGCACATTAAAAAAATACAAATATTTTTCAACAGGCATAATTATTACTCATAAGTCTAAAACAAATTGTAAATTAAATGCTCTTTACCTAAGTAAAGCTACAAAAGACGATGAAAATTATTAATCATGCATCGCTTCTCTTTTTTCTGGGTTTTATAACCTCTCAATCCTGACCTCTGCCTGGCTGGTCAGAGAAGAGGGAGAAATTTTTTCATAATTAGTAATAAAACATGCTCAAAATTATACTGTAGAACTTTAAAAATTAAAACGTAATCACTAAATGCATGATAAATCAGCTTTCAGTTACTCATACAAAGGGGGAAAGTGATGACATAGATGACACCAAATCTGTTTTTTTGAATCATATGATTAATTTGGGAGAAGCAAATTACCCTTATAATTATGTTTGATTGAAGCCAATGTTAACCAGAAGTTTATTTTTCCTGAACAGTCAATGAGTTTTGAGGGTTCAGACAAAACGGAAAGAGGGGGAGTTCATTCAGAAGCATACAGGTGGTTAAAAGCAGCCAGCTTGAGATAAAAAATTTTCAGTTAACCTACACAAGAAAACTGAGAGGTGTTCTATGAAGGGAAAGAAGAAAATTTCATAAAATTTGTGATAGTGCTAAAATTCTTAAACATAAAACTATTTATAGAAATCTTAACAAAATCTTTTTCCTGTCAAGTCATCATCCCTTCTTCCCAATAACTGGTATAAGTGGTGATAGCAACAATTATCAGCGGGCTAAGAAGCTGAAAGCAAAATTTTAGGTTCTATGTTATCAAAGATGTGTAAAATCCTTTTTATCACTGTTTTAAGTCTACCATCTGTCTCAGTGGGCACTTTATCTCATTACTTGAGAAAAGTCAAACCAACCAAGAAAATATCAAACAGGCAGGGGACTCATTTCTCTGGACTATTTTTAGGTGATTTAAAAACTTACACGATGGCAAGAACTACAGATTTAGCAAATACACAAAAACTAAATATTTACCCAAATACAAGATCATAGCCACAAAACTCAATTAGTTTCTGCCTAACATATGGCTCCAACTCCCGGGTGGCATATGTTTAGCACTGGTGCTGGTACTATCATTGTGATAAAACATTATAGTAACAGTTCAACTTTTGTTATTTCATTCTTGTAATACAGAAAAACACACACCAATTTTGCTTCCAAGAGCTAAAAACACAGACCACGGGAAAAAGCAAAATAATTATGCCGCTCAGTTTTAAGAGCCTACAGTCTACACATACATGAGGATTATACAGTTAAAAAAAAAATCTTGTCAGCCTGGTATTCTTTGTTAATAGATGGTCAGACACGAAGGTGTCCAAAGGAACTTACATGAAATTTCACAAAAGAAAATCCCGTATTTATGATTCCTAGCACCTCACTATCCATTACCCCCCTTCCCCCGAGAGAAAACTATCCCAAGGCTTTTAACGTTAACAGTTTAATAAAAGAACGACTACATTCATTAAAGCCGCCGCCGTCCTGTCCCCGATTTTATGGCTAAATTACGTGTTCATTTTCTTTACCTAACGCATGACGTTCTTTCACAGCCGTGTCAGAAGTTCAAAGATCCAGGCTGTTAAACAGGGCGAGGACTGCAGCCCGGAGTCCACCCCCCGACTGAACAGGTGGTTAACTCCGCCGGCTGGAGGAACGGCCAGGTACTGGCACCAGCCAAACAGGATCAAATACACAAGGGCGGGTTTTCGAGGTTTTAACCCCAACAGGAGCGGGGGAAACTCTCTTCAGAGGAGCATTCAAGTTTGGCGGCTGCCCGGCGGCCAACACCGAAGGCGCCGCGGCCGCTCGGCGATCCGCTCCGGAGGGCTCCGCAACCCACCCCCCAGCGCCGCCGTCAGCGGCGCGGCTCACCGCGGGCCGCGGGCCAGGGGGGCGGAGGGAGGGCCGCCCGCGCCGCCGCGCCGCCTCCGCGGGCTGGTGGCGGGGTCGCGGCCGCGCCCCGCCGAGCGCCTCCCGGCGAGACTAGGGCCCAGCAGGTGCCCCGTGAGTGGACGGGTCCCGCCCGCGGCCCACTCCCCTCCGCCCAGCGCGCGCTCACAAGACCGGGTGGGCCAGGCCCCTCGACGGGCCCGAACCCCGCTTAGCGCCCCGGCCCCTCACACCCAGCCTAACGGTTTCCCCGGCGCCTGCCCCGGGGCGGGGGCTGGAGGGTGGAACGGTACCCGGACGCCTCGGTCTCCCCCACCTTTCCCGAAGGGAGCGCCCGCGCTCTCACCTCCGAGTCACGCCGCTCTGAGGCGGAGGAAGGCGGCTACCCCGGCGCCTCTTCTTCGGGTTCCTGATCGTTCTCGCTCCACTTCAGCGGCAGAGCCAGCTCTCGGGGCCGCAGCGGCCGCCGGCGCACTGACTGTTGGGGTGGTTTCCCGGCAGTGACGGTGCCGCCTCAGCCCCGCTCTTCGCTCCCTCTCCGCGTAGCTCCCGCTTTCTGTTTCACCCGAGGGACCACGAACGCCGCCGCCGCCATGCTTACTACGGAGCCGGGAGGAGGAGCCGGGAGTCGGCGCGCCGAGTGCGGCTGCGCGAGCCCAGCCGACGGCGCCCCCGGCCGGCCCGGGCCCCGCGTCCCCGCCCCGCGCCCTGGCCGGCTGCCCCGCTGGTCTTTACCGGGAGCGCGAGGCGCCCGCGGAGCCGCCGGTGCGGGGCGTCAGAATCCCCGTCGCCGCTCCCGGGGCGCCCACCGCCCTCCCGGGGCTCCGGGCTCTCTCCTGAGGCCCGGCTACGCCTGGGTCGTCGCAGCCGCCGCCGCGGCCAGGCTGCTAGCGATACTAGGGAAATGAGGAGCCAGGTGACGTTCCTGGGGCCACTCACACACTTCTCAGTCCAGATTGTAAAAGGCTCCCTCTGAGGCGCACCGGGTCGGCCTTTTTCAGGAAGCACAAAACTTAATGCCGGCAGGTGCTTTTAAAGACACTCCCCCAAGGAATAGGGAGCCAACCGAAGTGGGCTTGGATGGTTTCAACCCCAAACGCTTACACCCCAGGAGCTCTTAAGCAAACAAAAATATTTAGATATTTACTTTAGTTGGAAACGTGAGAGTTAGCTTCTTGGTCTCTTCCCCAGTCAAAACGCGTGGAAACCCATTACCTTAATTAGTGCAACAGCCCGAAGACTTAACAAGGGAACGCGGCCGAGATTTCCTTGAACCTCCAGCAACTGGGGGCGCTGCAATAATGCCTGAGGGCCGGTCAGGGCTGCTTCCTTTTGCGGTTTCCACGGGAGGACTTGGGATGGGGGTTGTCCTTGGGACGGGGAGTCTAACCCCAGGAACTGTGCCCTCAGAAACAATGACGACGTACCCAGCCTCCTTGTTCTGGCTTTATTTCAGCTTATGAATTGTGCTGCCTTAAAAAAATAGCAGTGCTTTTTTCCCCACCTTTTTACAGAAATCCTTTTAAAATGTACTTATTCCCTACATGCTTAAGGAATACAATGGTTAATGAAATCCTTTGTTGATGACTAGCCATCAAACGCCATACTTGGCCATATGCTAGTCCCAGGGGATTGCTGAGGTATATAGGATCTCTACTTAGGTGATCTCTTTTTTTCTCTTTGGAATGTTCTCATCACCTTTTCTAATATCTGTCACTGCTTCTCATCTCCTCATCTGCCTCTTGATCCGCTCAGATCCTTCCTCTCATCCTTTCTACTTTACTGGTTATTTTTTACTCTTTTCTTTCTTGACTGCTTTTCTCTGTGGCTCCAGGTGATGATTGATCAGATGTTTATATCCACAGTCAGCCAATGAGAGATTTCTTTTCTTCCTCTTCTTCCCATCAGTAAATAGGACAGTGACTGTATGTCAAGTGGTATCCTGAGATATTTTCATTGTTGTTCACTCTCAAAAACTTCTTCTTCTGCCAGAGGGGTTTCCTTTTCTTAACTTGCAGATTTGGCCCTCTTCCAGACAAAATTACTGGAAAGCTGGTCTCTGGATAACTGAGGCACAACTGTATTTCGTTTTTAAATATGAGAATTTGGGGCTTCCCTGGTGGCGCAGTGGTTGAGAGTCCGCCTGCCGATGCAGGGGATACGGGTTCGTGCCCCGGTCCGGGAAGATCCCACATGCCGTGGAGCGGCTGGGCCCGTGAGCCATGGCCGCTGAGCCTGCGCGTCCGGAGCCTGTGCTCCGCAATGGGAGAGGCCAAAACAGTGAGAGGCCCGCATACCGCAAAAAAAAAAAAGAGGATTTATTAGAGCGTGGGTGAGTTGGGTGGCTTTTCTGTATTGCTGCCCTAGCTCTGTTTGGTCTGAGACTAAGGGAGTGGTTTCCAAACCTGACTCTACGCTAGTAATTTCCAAAGCTTCCTACTTGGAAACTTTTTTTTTTTTAAAGAAGATGTTGGGGGTAGGAGTTTATTAATTAATTTTTGCTGTGTTGGGTCTTTGTTTCTGTGCGAGGGCTTTCTCTAGTTGTGGCAAGCGGGGGCCACTCTTCATCATGGTGCGCGGGCCTCTCACTATCACGGCTTCTCTTGTTGCGGAGCACAGGCTCCAAGACGTGCGCAGGCTCAGTAGTTGTGGCTCACGGGCCTAATTGCTCCGCGGCATGTGGGATCCTCCTAGACCAGGGTTCGAACCCGTGTTCTCTGCATTAGCAGGCAGATTCTCAACCACTGCGCCACCAGGGAAGCCCCCTACTTGGAAACTTTTTAAAAAGACAGAATCTTGTAATCCATCCCTCAAAATTTTGATTCCTTTGGGGTTGGGTGTGGAGGTGGGAGAAATGGAATTTTTAAAAAATTATATTTTGGGCATCCCTACCTGTATAGGCACAACAAGAAAGAACAGTTATTTTGAAGGAGACTAAGACAATTCAAGAATGTCACTGAAGTAGACATAGATTAGTCAACAGTGTACAATGCTGTAAGGTTGAGTCAAGCGAGGACTGGGGAATTTATGTTCTGTGGAGAGAATGAATCACACACATAAATAATCCTAGCATGGGCACCAGTATGAATTCTCTGGGAATCCAGAGAGGGACAAGCGTTTACATTGACTTTGAACAAGTCACTTCTCAGTGCTTCATTTTTCTTATCAATAAAATAAGGGTTATTTAAAATCCTCATCTTTTTCGAGCTCTGAATAATACCCAACACTTTGACCACTTATTTCCTTGAATAGTTCTTCCTCTGGCACTATACTCTCTTGGCTTTTTCCCTACATTTCTGGGTACCACTTCTCTAATTCCCTTGCAGATTCCTTCTCCTCTCCCTAGCTATTAAATATAGGAGTACCTCACAATTCAGTCTAGGTTCTTTTCTGTTTTCATTATAATCTCTTGGCCTAAACCTCATCATCCACCCCAATGGCTTTAGTTATCATCTATATGCTGATGATTTCCATGTATGTGTCTCTAGTGTCCCAGTCCCTTACCCTAAATTCCAAATCTGATACCAACTGCTTCCCTGACATGTTCACTTAAAGTCTCAAAGTTACAAAGTTTAGTCCGACTTAGTTCACAAACTCTTGTTTTCCTTTCCCCTCATCTATCCAGTTGTTCAAATCAAACAAGCAGTAGTCTCCCCTGACATCTCCCTCCCTCTCATTCACCATATTTGTTGCAGCACCAAGTCCTAGCAATTTCACCTCCAAAATCTTAAAATTGGCCTACTTCTTTCCGATTGCCACCAATCTAATCTGGTCTCACTGCATACAATCTGAGCCTTTATTCTCCACTTTGCAGCCAAGACAGTTTTTCTAAAAGCAAATAAGATTATGCCACTTTTCATATAAAACCCTTAAACAGGGTCTCATTGCTCTAAGATAAGACTAGCATTCTTAGGGTGGCTTACCAGAACATGTGAGGTCTTGCCTTTTCTAGTCTGATCTGACACCACTCTCCCCGGGCTTCCTGTGTGGAAGGCTTCCTGGCTGCCTTTTATTTTCTCAAACGTGCTGTAATCCCAACAGCCATAGGCTCTCTGCACGTGACCTTCTTTTCCCTTTTACGTTGAGTAAGGAAAAACATTTCTGACTTCCCAGACAAGTTCAAGACCATTTGTTGATGTCAGCCCTCCTACCACCATGTACCTTTCCCTCTATGACTTATCACAGCTTGTAACATTTGGTATGTGTAAATACTAGGTATGTGTCTATTGCTCCCCTTCATGAGGAGGACTGAGCCTATTTTTGCTAACACAGTGCCTGGCATTTAGTAGCTGCCCAATAAATATTTCTTAAATGATTGACTGTTGTTCTTTGAGGTCCCTTTCAGCATTCTAGAAAGTTGTTGAATCATACAATTAGGAGATTACTGATCACTTTTGAGAGAGGAATCTTTTGTATGGTTAGTGGGAGGAAATAGAGGAATACATTGGGAGACAATTCTTCACGCAGCTGACATATTTCAGTACATATAGTAAGCAGAGGCACCAGCAACTTTTGCTCTAGACTCTTTTCCAAATGTTTGTATAGCAGGCAGAATACAGAGATAGTGTTTCCTATTGGAGTAGAAGGAACACTTGTTTACCATGCATTATGATAACGTCTCCTTCTGTAGCGAAGGTTAAGCAGGTTTGCTTATAGCCCATTGTGAAAGATTGGAGGTTTCCTAAGCTTGGGGTTCCTCAGCTCTGATGCAAACCCACAGCATCACCTGGGTTACTACATGTTACCCTGGGTGAGATCGCGAGGCAAAGGAACTGCTGTGAGCAGGAAGCTGGTGCTGCTTGCTGTGCCATGTGTAATACAGTCCTTTGACCCAGAAAACTCAGGTCTCCTTTTTTTTTTTGGAGGAAAGTTCCTCTTTTTAAAAAAAAAATAATAAATTTATTTATTTTTGGCTGCGTTGGGTCTTCGTTGCTGCACATTCTCTAGTTGCCGTGAGCGAGGGCTGCTCTTCGTTGCGGTGCATGGGCTTCTCATTGTGGTGGCTTCTCTTGTTGCAGAGCATGGACTCCAGGCGCGCGACCTTCAGTAATTGTGGCACACGGGCTCAGTAGTTGTGGTGCACGGGCTTAGTTGCTCCGTGGTATGTGGGATCTTCCTGGACCAGGACTAGAGCCCGTGTCCCCCGCATTGGCAGGCGGATTCTTAACCATTGCACCACCACGGAAGTTCAGACTCAGGTCTTCTGCTAGCATCCAAGAAACTGTAGCAGGCTAAGTTATTAGCTTGCAAGGAGCATAAAATCTCAGACCCTTCACATCTCTTAACAAGATACGATGGGTTGAAGAGAAAGAAAGAGATGAAAAAGTCAAAGGGCAATGGAGACTTGTCTTTTAGGAAGTTTGGGGGAAAAGTCTGGTGAGGAAGAGAGCTGGGACAGAAGATTGAGGTGGGAGGGCTGTGCTGGCCGAATCCTCTGAGCAATCCTGGGGGGTCGTAACTCGGAACCAGAGAGAACACTAACTGCCATTGCTCGTCTCTTTGGATGGGGAACTGGTGCAAGTCTGGAAGAGGAGAGGAGGTGAAAGCAGTTTATCTGGAGGTACACCGGTTAAAGCAGCCAGAAGCTTTTTGTTTGTCTCTGAGGGGTGT